AAATGCGTTTAGACATTTAGCGATTTGGCATTTGATCATTTCATTGGCCAGAATATAAATTTATTCTAGCCATTGAAATGGGAAAAAAAATATGCTCAGGCACTAAAAGAGCCTTGTTTTAACTCGTGTTTTAAACCTACATTTAGGCGCCTCATGCTTTTTCTCTGCCAAAATGCTCCTCTTGAATACACAAGTGATGTTTTTTTCTGCCTCTGAAATCCTGTGAATGCCTAGCGTGTGCATGGACACATAGGCTAACATGGAGGGGAATTTAAAGGCAGAGAAAAAATAAAACCTCAAATGCCTGTAAGGTATGGAGCACACTGGACGTTTTGATAACGCTGGGAATGTTAGTTGTGTAAAGTCACGTTAAAAATGTGTTTTTCAGCTTTTTTTTAGTGTTTTTGCATTCGCTTTTAGCCGCGTTTTCCCACGCTTGCATTTCTTTTGTGAGGGGGGCCAAAAAAAAGTCCAAAAATGCTGGTTTGCTGCATTTTGCCACTGTTTTTTAAGTTTTTCAGCATTAGAGCGTTTTTTACAGCTAAAAAACTCCTCTAGAAATCCACTAGTCCTGGGTTTTTTTTCCAGCCAAAAAAACATTGATTATAGTTTATGTGTGCATGGACACATAGGATAACATATTCATATCATGTCGACTGTTCAATGATGTGATTGCAAATTGGTGCCTCTTGCAATGTGTAACCTAACACTTTTAACATTAGTTAAATATACAAAGTGCTGCGGCAACATAGATTCAGAGATTTAAAGCCAACCCTGCTTATATTGAAATAGCAGTCCTTATATAACCCCTTTTAGAAGAACATCATTATCCTTTCCATAAAAAAGAAGAATTATAGAACTATCAGGAACTCAGGGATTACAATTGTCACATGTCATTATTTAAAATGCTTATTCATTTAGCATAAATATAAATGTTTTTTTGTTTAGGGTTCTGGGAAATTAGTTCTCTATGAACACATCAAAAGGTATAGAATGAAATGGATGCCAACAAACATAAAACTGAAGCAATGCAGGCACTTTCATTCATTGAAGTGTTTAATATTGGGTTAACACCACAGTCCAACTGGCTTTTAAAAACATCCCAGCTGGGACCAATGCACTGACCCAGTTTTAGGCAATTCAGCTGTGAATGCTTTCTCGCTCTTTCTAGAATAGAACCTTGTCACTGGTTATTTGTTTCATTCTAACCCTGAGATCTCAGGAGATGAAGACCATAGTCATTACAGCAGACTCCAATCCAACTGTTATTTTTTCCTTTGTCTTTTATTTAAATCAAAGCATAAAAGCTGACACCATCGGGAGAGATTAGCTTCATGCTCCTCCAACAATCACATCTGTGGAAGGATTGAAACCTAATCCAGTATTATATATTTTGCATTATATGCAGTTTAATGGTTTTAAACTCCATCTGAGATTGTGGAATACAAAGTTCTCTTATGGGAAGCCTGGTATCTTGGAAATACGTGAAACAGTCGTGATATGTAACATTTTGTGGCTAAGGTATATGCTCATAGATTGAATGAGGAATAAATCCCCCATAACAATGTATAGTTTGGAATACATATTTTGGGATTATTGGTAAACTATTTGATGAAAGTTGGCAGAGATTGATATACACTGCAAATGCTTTTTGTTTGCAGTCTGACACATTTTATGGGTATGTTTACTGAAGGATAATTTAAGGAGAGCTATACAGATATCCTAAAAAAATATACAATATAGTATTATATAATATATGGGGTAGTCTGCACCAAAAGTTCACGTAGAAAGTCCATGCGTGTAGCCAGGTGTGTTACTAGTAAGGAAAAAAACAAAAACTAAAAAGGGGGATACAGCAGAGTGAATCACTTTTATTGATCCTTACATAGTACAAAAAACCAGACCAAGTGTTTCACGCCTCCCTTTGAAAAGCTAAGGCTACGTTCACACTAGCGTTGTGTGCAGGCGGCAGAGAGGCATTTGGGAAGCGTTTTTACTGCTTCCCAAACGCCTCTGCCAATTCTGCACATTACAGCACATGGTGCTGTTCTAACGGGATCGCTTGCATCGCGTTGCGTCGCGGCAAAACGGACGCCTCTGGTCGAGTCAGGAGGCATTGAAGCCTCTTATTCTCATCTACGGTGCCGCTCCGCAAATGCCCGGCCGCCGTTTGCGGTGCGGTTGCGACGCGGTTGTGGGGCATTTGCGGACCGGTAACACCACTCAAACTGCATTATAGGCATTTGTGGGTCGTTATTAACTCTCGGCAAACGCCTAGCAACCGGCGCTAAAACAACGCCGGACCAACGCTTGCCAAACGCTATAGGGGCATTTGGCAAGTGTTGGTAAAACAGCCAAGTGTGAACGAGCCCTAAAGATTACGAAAACTAGTGATGAGTAAAGTAAGAGACCCGAAGAGATGTGAATTAAAAAAGGCCTGGATTCTTTCCTAGATACACAGAATATAACTGGATACTAACATTTATAAAGTAAAGTTGATCCAGGGAATATCCGATTGCCTCTCGGAAGATCAGGAAGGAATTTTTTTCCCTGCAGGAACAAATTGGATCATGCTTTGCTGGGTTTTTTTTGCCTTCCTCTGGATCAATTGTGGGGGGGGTATACAATTATAATTTTTTTTTTTTAATGGTTGAACTGGATGGACTTTTGTCTTTTTTTTTCAGCCAGACTAACTATGTAACTAAATTAGGCTACTTTCACACTGATCCATATATCCAAACCCATATGTGTTTTTTACAGTGTTTTTACAAGACATGTGACTTAAAAACACAACCTGATTGTGTTTTCGTCACGTTTTTCCAGTTATTTCAATGGGAAGGTGCATTTTCTTTTACCGCATCAAACCTGCACCAAAAATGCAGCAAGCAGGATTTAAAAAAAAAAAATGCACCAGACCAGCAACGGATCAGCGTGAAGACTTCAATGGGAATACATGGTCACATGTTTTTTTTTCCACCTTTTTTTTTTTTTGCACAAAAGCAGATGAAAACGGGTCAGAGTGAAAGCAGCCTTACAAGGTAACAAGTGGATATTAAAGGAATACATTGTTGATTTCTATCATGTACTAACAGGTGTCATTGCTGATCTCAATACAGAATCGTATACCTAGAATTTACAATGGATAGGCAAAGGCAATGCACTCCCTAACTTCCAGGAAGAGATATTTGTCATCAGGTGGGCAGACAAGGGAAGTTCCATTGTTTCAAGGCTACAAATCAAAATAAATTAAGTTCTTCATAAACTATCTGACTCTACTTTACGTATACTGGTCAGTTTTAATCCCACTGCTAAGCAGAAAATTAGGAAAGTTGTCAGTAGAGCATTACACAAACTTTACCCCTGGAAGACTCCATGACGGAAATGGAGCCAGTATGTGCACCGCTGGCTTGGTATCTTTATAAAATATTGATCCTGTTGGTAACACTAGAGCTTATATTTGTGACTGGCATTACAGATTTATACACTAAACCTGCTTATCACAATCTGTTATGAATTTCATTCCCTTCCCATCTGTGCCAAGGAGTTAATTTACTTCTGTAGAGGGAATTGTCAGTAACACTGTTCTTCTTGAACCTTACAGTATGTATCTCTCATCTATAAGTTTACATTTCAGATGCTTTGCCTCTTTATTGATTACCTTAGTTCTCAGAAGCTTGTTACTATTGTATAACAATTTGCACTGCTTCCTATTGTATATATTACTGTGCCTTTTACCTTGTAATCAAATGTTTCCTGCTTTATGAAAGGGTGATATAAGCCTAAAACTGTAGTTTACTATGAAACACTATTATTTGTTACAATAAAAACTTTGAGTGCTGAAATTAGTGGACTTTCTCTATGATGTGGGTTGTTTGAGTTAGCCCTGTTACTGATGGCACACACTACAAATCAGTAGTGCACAGAATGAATATATATAGTATATCAGCCAGATTAAAAGTCTGACCTTGAAGGATAACTCCACTTTGCTACATAAAGTCATGTTGTATTTACATTTCCTTTTTAATCTGCAGTGCTGTAATTTTCTATAAAATGCAGCGCAATATGGCTACCTGGAGGCGCAGATGGTGTCAGGAATGGACTGGCCAGCAATGGTGGGACTCACCTGCCTTTTGATCTGCAGTACCAGGGCTGGCCAGCGGGTGCTCCCAGCAATCAGAGACTCAACCTTTCAGCCAGCTAACACCTGGAACTGATGATACTGGTGTATTTAAGGGATGGCCAGACTTGCAGACTCTGCCTTGGTGTTGTGTTTGTCCTGGGCCCTGTATCTGTCCTGCATCCTGTTTCTGTTCCTTTGCTACCTGTTCTGATCCCTGGCTTGTGACCCTGACCATCCCTCTGCCTGACCCTCTGTACTACGCTGCTTGCTACCTGTTCTGATCCTGGCTTGTGACCCTGACCATCCCTCTGCCTGACCCTCTGTACTACGCTGCTTGCTACCTGCTGAACCTGGCCTGTGACCCCGACCATTCTCCGCTTGCTCCCCCTGTACCTACCTGCCCAATTGATATTGACTCGGCCTGCCTGACGACGCTTGCTTGTATGTACTGTTATCTGTGGGTGGTTGGTTGGGTTTGTTTGCACTGTATTATGTTTAGTATTGCACTGCGTTTATGTTTGTATTGTTAGTGTTAATAAATTACATTGTTAATCACATATCTGAAGTCTGCGTTTCCCTGCTTCAGTCACACACCTCTGGTCATACCTGGGAGCCCTGACAGATGGTGTACAGAATGCCCCCCCCCCCCCCCCAGAAATGTAATTTCCTACTTGAGTGATTCTCACTAATTTTCCTAGAAGTCTGCAATAAGATACAAGTCAGATTTTTGGCATCCCGTGCAACAAAAATGTCATTTTTGGTGAGACATTCTCAAAGTGAAATCACATCTAAAGGGATGCAGATTCTGCCATTTTCCTTAGAGCCCTGCAGCTAATTAATCATTACAAAATCACTCCCATACAGGTTCACTTTGCACAGGGACCAGGGGTGGACTGATCATTTGGAAACTTGGGCACTGCCCGAGGGCCCGGGGTCAGTAGGGGGCCCCATGAGATGCCCCTGGTACCTTTTTCATAGGCTTTTTGAGTTTGGGCAAGGACACAGGGGCCCCATGATCCCCTATTGCCCGGGGACCCCATGAGTTGTCAGTCCGCCCTTGAGAGGGACACAGCTTTTTCTTCAGAACAAAAGGTAGGAATCTGCAACAAAGTTTGGTAAAATCCCATCCCTGCAATGTACATAGATGTCCCAGAGGGGAATGTTTTTTTTTCTCAACAAAAGTGAACTTGCTCATTAAACATGTATGTGCCATTTGTTTAAAGTATATAAAAATGCATATATTTAACTTTGTAGATATGTGCATAATTAACAAATTTGGTATTTTGGCTGCACTGGGTAGCCATAGAAGCTGTGACCTAGCTACAGCAGCAACTGGAGCAAACTGTTGGTAATAAGAGAGCTCTGGAGATGCACAGTGAGATGGACAGGAGTGCCATTTCTGAATCCTTGCAGCATCTCAGCGAGTGGAGGTAGGACTTGGGTCAGTATAAAGATCTGATGGCTGATGCCTGTCACGGAGTCCTTTATTTCAGTCCACATGATCACATGTGAGTCATCTTCCTTACCCCACAAATAATCTGTTCTGTCTTAATTTCCGGATACATCCCTAAAGCTGGCCAAACACTAGCTGGTTTTCAAACACACATTCAAATATTCATATGAACATTTGTATGAAAATTCTTAGTGCATTTGATGGCTTGACAAATGTCATTTGGAAAAACTTCCAAAGTTTGTTTGCTCAGATTTGGAATTAATGTTAGTTCCCAAAAAAAAACCATGTATACTATTAGAAATGTGTTAGTTCAAGAAAAAGCTTCATTCCTGTTCCTTCAAATTTTCTCGTAACTGCTTTAAAAAATGAATGACAGTTTGACTCCACTGACCTTTAGAAAATTGAACAAATGTTCTTAAAATGAAAAATTTCCAATGAAATTCTGTTAGTATATGGCCAGCCTAAAGCTCCCGCACTTCCCATACAACTAGTCCTCTGTTAGGTTCGTTATAGAAAAACTCATGGCCGATTAAAACAAAGTTAGCAATTAAAAATAGCAAACCTAAACTCAGTTTAACTGAAACAGTATATCCCCTTACATGTAATATGCTGATGTTTTCTATACAGTAGTTGCTACAAAAAAGACTTGAATGAAAATGTTGCTGTAGCCAGGAGACAATGGATTGTTGAAGCCAAGCTTGACTTTCATACAACTGTGAGATTTGCATATAAATTGAAATACCTTTTATCTACTAAAAATGTTGACAGTTTCTTGAAATTTAACCCCTACCTATGCTCTGTCTAAATTGTGCAGGTTTAAAGGCTAAGCTCACCTTTGGAACATGTTACACGTTCCCTCTGTTTTTAGGGTGGAACTTGTAACATGTTTCAACATTTGCCTCCTCTCCCCACAATCCTCCTGTGACAGCGGATGGGGATTCTTCTCCCCACACATGCGGTGACAATTTGAAAATAGTGTGGCCCCACCCACATGGCAGCATCATTTATTCAGTTTCCTTTGAATGGATAGACTATACCTACCATCATCCATTGTCATCAATACGGAGGTGCTGGGGGATGCTCTCATAAGCCATTGAACTTCCTGCTTTCAGGTAATTGTCTGCCCAGACAACTATCCTGAGAGTCTGCAGGAGCCTGATATTGCACTCACAATCTGGTGATTGTAGGTGCAATGCCCTGCAAGCTCCTATATAAAAAAAATAAAATAAAAAAAACATTTTTTTTACCTGCAAAAAATAATGTGTATTTATCATTTTTTTCAAAAGGTGAACTTATAAGATCTGGTTGCATCCAAGCATTGGTGAATGCAAGTTGGAGATGTGTGTTGCTATGGGTAAAGAACTTGATTAGAGTTACCTTAAGGGCTTTCCTGACATTGTATTTAAAGTGACACTAAATATCCTAAGGGGCCGTTAGTCAGGCAGTCCTGATCGGACCCTCCATTCTGCTCTATGGAGCGGCGGTTGTAAACTGACTTATGTCTGTTTACACATGCCTACCTCCAATTTGATTTGTTCTGGCAAAAACAAATGGAAGGGGGATCCATTCCCCTCCATCTGGTCGGATCAGATCAGAGGGCAGTTGGGTGTACATACAGCTGGCCTGTTTACATTAGATTGCCAATAGAGGAGAACAGGCTGTGTCCGTGTCCACTCTGCATAAGTGGAGTGGACAGTGTCATCCACCTTCTTAGTGGGGGATCAGTGGACAGATCCCCTGCTGAGCAAGCGGATCGCAGGCAGAGTCTGTCCCATGTGACAGGGGCCTTTGTTTTTAAAAAGTAATCCATGCACATCCACTACTTATTGCTCCAGTGATCAATTTTTCATGAAAATGTTTCTTACTGTGTTTTTCTGCCTCCTTGTAACATCCTTAATGAGTTCCTGAGCCTTTCCTTCTCCCTTTCCGTTCCGTTTGTTTGGAACAAGCAGTGCATGTTTTAGTGCAGGTCTTACTCATTGTTCTATGCACATTACATATCCTTAGTGCTTGGTTCATCTGGTTCATCTCGTGCAAAAAAAAAAAAAAAAAAGGGGGGGGTGGTAGCTACATTCTTACTCACAGTAGGACAATGGAGAATGAATGTGGTCACCTTTTGACAGGAAATTAGACCACAGCAGTAAAAAAAGAAATAAAAACAAATTTTTTTTTTTTTTTTAAATGTCAATTTGAAGGAGTCTGAAAGCAGATAGAAGGTATTTTTTGAGTTAAAGTGGTTGTCAAGGTTTTTTTTAACTTCATGCATTTTATGCATGAAGGAAAAAAACCTTCTGTGGGCAGCAGTGTCCCTAGCCCCCTCAGTACTTACCAGAGTCCCATCAAGATCCATCGATGTACACAACAGTCTTGGCTGCCCGAGTTTCTGCCTCCTCATTGGCCGGGAGAGCAAGCGTTGGCTCCCGCTATTGTCAATCACAGCCAGTCAGCCAATGAGGAGAGAGAGGGGATGGGGCTAAGCTGCAGCTCCATGTGTGAATGGACACACGGAGCAGCAGCTTGGGAACAGCCTGCTTGGGTGCCCCCATAGCACGCTGCTTGCTATGGGGGAACCCGACAGAAAGGAGGAGCCAGGAGCGCTGACAGGGGACTTGAGAAGAGGAGGATCCAGGCTTCACTGTGCAAAACCACTGCAAGGAGCAGGTGAATATAACATGTTTGTTATTTAAAAAAACAAAACCTTTAGTATCGCTTTAAGAATAAATAGTTGAATAGAATTTAATTTTTTTTGAGACCAGAGTTTAGTGTCACTTAAAAATGGCTGTCAACATTAGATATAATCCCCAGATGCTTTATTGCTGGGTAGGGATATCCTGATGTCATACACAGCTCACCAGGCAAGATTATCAAGAATTTTTGGCAAATTCCCTCACCCTCTTATGCCAAATATAAGTAAACATAAACTATTTTTCTGTTTTTAGATGATTCTTGTAGGATGAGGTCTGATATCATCTCACTAGTATTTCATCATGAATAAAACAACAAAGTAAACAACCAAAAATGACAAGATAAAGAAAAAAAAAACAAGGAGGAGCTTCTCCCTTGAGAATTATCTGAAGTGTTGCGTTACTTCTTGGCTCACAGCAATGTTTGTTCATTTGTGAAAGAATGTTGGATTTTGGAGTGGAGCTAGAGAGTGGCTTCATGCTTCAGCTTCAGATGTATTATCCCGAAGAGAGTTTGTGCTTTTTCCTCTGGCTTGCATTCAGCAAAGTCTGAACAAGTTAGTGAAGTGTTCAAGGCTTTACAGCAGCAAAGAAGAGGAATGGTGCCAACAAAATAAAGTAACTATGGTAATAAATTGTTTTCATCAAAATCAGAAAAAAAAATTTGAATTACAGCTTTCAAATAGCACTAAGATTTAATTGCCCTTTAGTGCTCACAATTTTAATATTCAAGTGACACATTGTCAGCATGTTATTGTTATACAGTATAGTGCTGTCTGCAAAATGTTAGAAAGTCAACACTGGAAAGTACAGCTGTAATGCTATCGAACTGGGATATATTAGATCAAATATTAACCCATCAAATGACCTGTATACCTAAAAAGCAGGTTAGTTTTATATAAAAGGGTTAATATTAGCATTTATAGATAGATGTGTTAACATAGAAGAAAAGACTAACTATATCTCTTCCTAAAAATGTTCCATTCTCCCTCTTCCTACCTATCCTGCCTAATTTGTAAAACAAAACCCTGTATACTTACCTATGTATATCCCACTTCTGTTCGGTCCAGTGATCCTACAGCTCATGCTCCCCTGTAGAAGTAAATGGCTGGGCTATGGGATCCTATGGGTAGCCTAAAAAAACAGTACCACTGTAATGCTCCAGAAGGTAAGTCCTGTGCCTGGTGACATTATGTGCTGGTCAGGATATAAGGCTCAGCAGGCTTAGCTAGAACTACAAAGGGTGGTTCTCCTATGGGTAAAGAACCAAGTTGAAGCCATTTATCATCTTTCACTATTTTAGCTTTACAGTTTGCTGTTCCCGTATGCAGCCAGGCGCCATTTTCTTGTAAGCCCATGGGTAGCATTACTGCTCCCAGAATTCACAGCTGCTGTCGAGCGCTCCCTTAGACAGAGCAGAGGATTATGCCAATATGTTTCTCTCTGAATGCAGCTTTTGCACTTAAACACCTTGGCTGTGTTCAGAGGCATACGAACAAGAAAAATGCTTCTAAAAGCGATGCTCTTTCTGCTTATGCGCCTGAGGCCTAAGTGTAGCTTTTATTGGTACTATATAGTGACCTTAAAAAATTTAGCTTCCTTGACCTAACAGACAACTCTCCCAGTTAATATGGCTGTTAAAGTGTAACCTGTTTCATTTACCTTTTACACAATTATTGGCAAACCTTTTTGTTCCTATTTTGTACAAAGACAATATTATATCAATGTTCAATGCACATTGCAAACTGGGAACCCAACACACGTATGCACTTAAAATATGTGGACACTTTAGCAAATCAGATAAAAATAACCCATGTGTAAATTACGTAAAAGTCAATGTACTCATGTAAACCTGCAGCAGAAGCTTGCCAATCATCTTCATAGCCATTCCTTCCTGCCCTTGTGCATTTTAAACTATGAAATCAGGCCCAATACCATAGC